ATTAGAGAGATGCAAATCAAAACAACAATGAGATACCATCTTGCTCCAGCACTAGTAGCAAAGTTCAATGAGACAGAAAATAACAAATGCTGGCGAGGGTGCGGAGATATTAGGACTGTCATACACTGCTGGTGGGACTGTAAAATGGTACAACCATGGTGGAAAGCAGTATGGCTATTCCTTTAATTTGGAACTAGAAATACCATTTGACTCAGCTATTCCATTACTATGTATATATCCTAAAGAAGTGAGAGCCAGAACAAGAACAGATACATGCACACCCATGTTCATCGCAGCACTATTTACAATAGCCAAAAGATGGAAGCAACCTAGGTGTCCATCAACTGAGGAATAGATATCCAAACTATGGTATGTACACAAAATGGAATACTATGGAACCCTAAAGAATAACGTAGAATCTGCAAAACACTGCATAACATGGATGAACTTCGAGGACATTATATTGAGTGAAATAAGTCAATCACAAAAGGACAAATATTGTATTAGTCCATTATTATAAAAGTCAAGGGAAAGTTTATCTATGGAAGAACATTTTCTTTGTTGGTTACCAGGGGTGGGAGGGGAGGGGAGGGGAGGGAACACTGTTAGATAGAGATAATTATCGATTTGGGTGAAGAGAAGGGCAGTGTACCAAATGTGAGTGATCAGTATAGTGGCATTGAGGAAGAGGAAGACATAGAGAGGTACATGGGAGGTACAGACAACAAAGATGAACCCTTTTGCATATACAGTACTGCGTTGTAAGTGAAGGCAAACATGGGTATATGGATGGATAGATAGGTGGACAGGCTGAACTATTAGTTATGTCTATGAAGTGGGGAGTACACCAAAGAACATGTATAGGGTTGGCAGACAATGGTCCTATAACTTTATGTGTATGATCTGAATTTCCAGGTGTATAGTGGAGCTGACAAGGGGCATGGTTATAGTCACTGCTTTGTCATAGCCAGCTACCCAGAGAGACCGAGTAGTTGAACCTGTGGGCTCGGGACCATAGTCGCAGAGGACATCAAGCTCAATTGGCATAACATACTACACAAAACATTGTTCCAC